AGCCAAAACCCAAGCAGCATAGCTACTGTTGTAATGGAAAAATAATTTATTAAATGAGTCAACCTGGAAATACAAATAATAGTGACTTATCTAATAAGCAGTCTTTCTTGTCACCCATTCAGAACATTAAATACAGTCTTCTGAGAAGCTGGATTGTAAGTGTGCGGTTCCCTTTAAAACAGACATGCAGCGCTATAATACCTCAGATTTGGCAATGATCACTGTGTTTTATTAGATCAAAATGGTATTGGTGAATTTAAGTGATTGTTCAAGCTTTTTATAAAGCCTAGAATAATTTAACATTAATAAACAGGCTAGTTTATTATTATTTTTTCTGTCTCTAAGGATAAGTAAGTACATTTTTAACATACATTGTGAAAAATGTTCTGATTCAAAGAGTATATATTTTGACAAAGATTTAATTTTGGGCACTTCAGTAAAAAATATTCTTGTGAGATCAAATTTAAGAATAGTCACTGGATGCAATGATTTACGTCAGTAGAGTTTTAAACAGCTGCACCTTAATATGTACCTTGAGACACTGACAACATTTTAGGTTGTAAAGGAAAAAGGAAGACTGTTACTCTATTTCTCCAGTAAGCTTCCTTCAGATTTTAGAAATGCAAACTACCAACTGGGATTTCAAGATACTATTATGATTACAATGTATATTAAGAAAAAAAAAAACAAATGAGCAAGTTCATACTATCAAGATAAAACAAGGCATTTTCTTAACTACACAGAGCTGAAACAGGCATAAACAGAAGAGTAGTTCCAAGACCCAGGAGACTTCTGCAATAAGAGAAACAGAAAGGCACTGCACTGTTCTTCTAGCTAACTTCACTTACTAAAGAAACTCACCAATTAAACTTGGCACAAAAGAGTTTAATTACCATAAAGTGCATCACTTGGTTAAATATTATAAACAAAATCAGCCACAATACAGTACAACATCTTCACATATATAGAAATAAAAATACAATGCCAGGAGTCAAGCTACTTTGAAACGTTGCAGTATATATGGCTTTTTATTTTATTTCTTTTTCTGTAACTCATTTGCCTCAAAACTATAATATATTTGGAAGAGAATATACCTTGATTAGCAAAGAGGTAGTGTTCTGAAAGAGGCAAAACCACTGAACCTACAGGTTGAGATTTGAGTCGAAGATTATGCACAAAATAACCAAGTATAATACATCAATATACCAGGACACTTATAGCATCTTTTAAAAAATATTTTACTTATTATTTTTATCTTATGTGTATGAGTGTATTGCCTGCATGTATGTAAGTGCACCCATGCTGGGCAATGCCCAGCAAGGTCAGAAGAGAGTGTTGGATCCCCTGGAAATGGAGTTTAGATAGGCGGTTCTTAGCCACCATGCAGGTAGTGGGAATCGAACCCAGGTCCTCTGTAAGAGCAGCCAGTACTCTTTATTGCTGAGCCATCTCTCCAGCCCTAAAGCAAGTATTTTGATATTAATTAATCAGTGTTGAAATCAAGGCCATTTTGTCACTTTGCTATATGATAACAGCTCTTCAAAACACATTATCTTTGGTTCTAGAAAGTCATCTTTTAAGTATTAACATTTCAAGTAATTTTTATTCAGAGATGGTGAACATAGCAACTTTTAAACTGGACTCATCTTTATCTTCACTGTGGTGTTCACTGATTTAAATCATTTATGAAAATCTGTCATAACAGAGTTACAGAGAAGTATGTATTACCCAGATAGCAACATGCAATTATTTTCACTGCATATAACTGGTGATTTAAGGCAGACAAGACACACACACTAATTTGGAGTACTATAGAGCAAGACACTGTAATAACTTATATATAGCATTTAAGAATGTGGAATTTGATAACAATTCTAACTAGTTTTCTTTATTCAGTGTATTAAATATAATGCTGGATAAAAGACAATTAAAAGCAGCAGTGAATGTTTCCTGTTCTAATAATTAAAAAAAACTTTATGTAAACTTTATACATGTGCATTCTTGCTCTTTTCTGTGTTTCAGTCTTTGAAAATAGGATTTGCCACTCTGCTGCAAATGTGCTGAAATTCTGAAACCAAAGGAACTGTTGTGGCTGCTCTATTAGTCATCTTCGGCACTATATGCCAGTTCTGCAACTTCTATGTCTGCTACTGCACTTTCACCTGTGTTGAAGTGTCGTTTATTATCAGCTCTGTAAAGAAAGAAACATGTCAGTGAAGGGGCTGGATGCATGCTCTATCACTTTACTGCAATGCCTTTGCAAAGGAAAGGCAACTTCCACATGACAAAAAATAAACTTAGTTTGTGTGTTGTATAGGTGCAGGTATGCATGCAATCACTATGTGTGTGTACTTGTGGCGATCAGAGGTCAACCACAGATATCATTCCTGATGCTATTAACTTAAAAAAAAAATCATCCATCCTTCCATCCATCCATCCATCCATCCATCCATCCATCCATCCATCCATCCATCTCTTTCTATCTATC